AAAAAAGATAATATTTTAATAATAAAATTTTTCCATTACATGCATTAAATACAAAATTGATTAATCGATTTCTTAAAAACATATATTTTTGTGAACCTGCACGACCATATTATGTAAAAGCTAAATAAAGTCAATGTTTTCAATAATTTTATTTTTTTCGTCTTAATTTCTAATGAACAATAAATCTATTTTTATATTTCATTATAGAATAGTAAGTCAAGTTTCTCTTTGATGGCACTAAACAACAATTTACTCAATAGCACATACTTTTTGTGTTGTGTTAAGGCATATTTTAAAAGGCATCCAATATTTTAATAATTAAAAGGTAAAGTATAGAATGAGACCATTTACTTTTGGTACAATGTGAGACATTAATCTTGACCATTGGATGTAAAATTGGGTGGTTGTAATTATTTTATTAAATAAGCATAAACTTCAAAAGAAATTTTTTCGAACTCCATGACATCCAATATATCAAACGTCAAATCAGATGATTGTAAGTAATTGTGACCACCTTCTATCAAAGGTAAATGGTCTCATGTTATACAATTTTTAATTAAAAATTTGATCATTACATGTGCATTTAATGCGCATCTTAAAATTAAATGCGCATCTTAAAATTAAAAAATAAATGAGATGATAATTTAATAATAAAATTTATCATTATATGCATTAAATGCAAACTTGATTTATTGATTTTTTAAAATGCATGTTTCTATGAACCTGCATGTCCATATCATGTAAAAGCTAAAAAGCAAATGTTTTCAATAATTTTATTATTATTGTCTTAATCTCTAATGAACAATAAATCTATTTTTATATTTTATTATAGAAGATTAACTCAGGTTTCTCTTTGATGGTACTAAACAACAATTTATTCCATCGGTAGTACAAATGTTTTGTGTTGTGTTAACATGTATTCTAACTAGTGTTCGCAAAATCGAACCAGAACGGTTAACCGGACATGGGGCTGGGAGCAGTTTGAACCGGAACCGGACTGACCAGGGTGGTTAACCAGACTAACTGGTCAAGTAGATTTTTTTTAAAAAAATAAGTCAAAAACTCCCAAAAAAATAAAATAAAAAATAAAATTACTTTGATTAAGTGTATAATATCTTATTACATATATTTGTCTTACAAAAAAAAATTGAAACAATTTTTTATAAATTAATATTTGAATACTATGGTCCTGTACTTGAAATATCTTAGGATATTTTTTGAAGATATTTTTGTCATGTAACATCTTCTTCCAAGAATTAACATATCTATTCCAAACCTTACATGAAAATCTTTCTAGTTTCTTTTGTACAAAAATCGCTCACATTAGGAGTGAAAGTTTATGCATTTTTTTACAAATAACAAAAGTACGTTGATGCTATTAAATCAAATAAAAACGCCAACTAATTAAGACAAGATATAGAGAGGACCTCTTCCATACTGTTAGATAAAGCATAATTTATACAACACCTTTTGGATAAAGTTAAATAAGGTATACTTTACGAAAAGTACATCTCATGACATGCAACAAAACGAAAAATCAATGCACAACTGTTCTTATATGTATCTACTATGGGCATGTCAGTGTTTTGTGCATTGATTTTATCAGCAAATAAGAATAGTAGAACAAATAATTTGATCAAAAAATAATTTTATTAAGCAAAATATAAAAACACTTCCCATATTTATCATAAAACATAATTTTATTAAAAACTATAATTTTATCAAAAAATAAAATTACTAAGCAAAATGGACAACCACTTCACATATTCATCAACAATATAGTTTTATTAAAAAACCATAATTTTATCAAGAAATAATAATTTTGTTAAGCAAAATAGAAAAACAGTTCCCATATTCATCAAAAAAACATACTTTTATTTAAAAGATAATTTTATTAAGAAATATAGAAAACAAGTTCTCATATTGATAAAAAAAAAACATTAATTTACTAAGCAAAATGAATGTTTTTTTTAGAAAAATCAATTTCTCAAAATGTGGGGGATGATTTGAAATTAAGATCACCTTTATAAAACTCTCTCTTTGTCTGGAATCAGATTAGATCGGGATCTGCCAGTGACCGATCACGAGTTAGTTGGCCGAGTTTTTAAAACTCTCTCTCGGTCTGGAATCAGACTAGATCGGGATCTTCCAGTGACCGATCACGAGTTAGTTGGCCGATTTTTTTAAACTCTCTCTGTATGGAATCAGACTAGATCGGGATCTGCCAGTGACCGATCACGAGTTAGTTGGCTGATTTTTTGAAAGTCGGCTAATCTTTTAAAGGCTATTTTGATAACATTCCAAAAACCTTGATAGAAAATGGAAAAAAAGAATGGAAAAAGAGAAGAGCCAAGCACATACAACACGATGGTGTAGTGTTTCATTGAACATAAGGCAACCAAAATATTTACATGCACTTAAATAAACAAAATGTCTCATGTCCATCATTAGATATACAACTATATTATGCACTTAAAAAAACATAATAAATCATGCACTTATAAAAAAAGAAGAATCAATTTCATCAAAAAAATAATTTTATCAAAAAGAATAATTTTATTAAGAAAAATTGAAAAACACTTCCCATATTCATCAAAAAGCGTAATTTTATTAAAAAAAATCATAATTCTATTAAAAATAATTTTATTAAGAAAAATAGAAAAACACTTTCCATATTCATCAAAAAATGTAATTTTATTAAAAAATTATAATTCTATTAAAAATAATTTTATTAAGCAAAATAGAAAAACACTTTCGATATTCATCAAAAAATATAATTTCATTAAACAAAATATTTTTTTTAGAATAATCCATTTTCCAAAAACCCCAAAAATCAAGCAACATTTCGAGCAAAAAGCGACCCTCAATGTTTGGATAATCGAACAAATAAACATGCGTGCATTGTAAAGGCTTCGGTCATCTTTCAAACGCACCAAATCTCATCAAAAAATATTCGGTATTTTTAATTTAATTGAAAAAAAGGTGGAAATTTCAGATCTATGAAATTTTCATGATATGGTGCAACGAAAAAAATCATATAAAAACATTTAATTTATCATAAATAGACATGCTTATCTTATTTGAGAGATCAAGCATTGATCATAACAATCCACAACTCAATTTAATAAAAAACGACCAATAAATAGATAAAAAATCTGTGCTTTTTGATCGAATACAGATTCTTTGAACAACAGCATTTCGGGCCAAAATCAACCCATAATATTTGGTTTTCTGAACAAATTGAAACATAAATCGGATGAATAATTCAATTATCTCTCAAACCCACCAAATTTCTTTAAGAACCATTACGTATTGAAAAAATTATTGAAAGAATGGCGGAAATTTTCAAAAACCTAAAAAATGTGCCATTTCGATCCAAGGAACTCTTGTTTTTTCGATGTTTCAATCCAAATTTCTTGTTTTATAGATTATAGATAGTAATTTACAACAATAAAACATGAAAAAAGACAAAAAAAAAAAAAGGCACGAAAACGGATAAAAAAAAGTGAAAATTTGGATTCTAGAATGCCTGCTACAAACAATGGCCTCGATTTCGAAATAACGGCCATTATTTACATTATATCGGGTGTTATATATGCTAACTGGTCCGGTTAGCAAAAAAGGGCCGGTTTTGCGGAAAAGCCGTCGGTTCAGGTGCTGACCGGCCGGTTTTTGTACCCAAATTTTTTGGAGCTCATCGGCTACTAAGTAGGCCACCAAAACCGACCCTAACCAGAATCTCCACCCCGCTGGTAGTGATCTGATCAGCCAGTTTTGCGAACATTGATTCTAACACACGTGAGTGAGGGAAAGAAATCTACTATTTAAAAGAACATGGGATCGCGATCAGTGCGATTGTGGGATCAAACTCCTTTATGAATGAGATTGAGAATATTATAAATAGGAGTGAACTCTCCAAAAAATTAGAATGAGTTCCGGTCGAGATCCTCGCCACCGAGCGTCATAGCCACTTTAGTTGGGGGCTCCGGTAACTTTGGATTCCCATCCCAAAATGTCATATTCAAGGTACTCCTAAATAGAATTTTACCAAATGCATGACATGTTTCTTTCGGAACATATAATCTTTTGGCAATATGCATGAGCAAGGCGCCCACCACTCATAAAAATATACATATATGTATGAGTATGTGGGCGCCCACCGCTCATAAAAATATGCAAAGGGTTCTCATGTCCTAAAATATGTAAAGATCTTCTCCAGGTAGTATTTCGAGTCTGGTGTCATATACTTTCAAATATTTGGGCATCTTGAATATCAATATGTGTGCATCTGGATGCATATACAATCTCACATGTCACATGGAGTATATATTGGCCAAATGTGTGAGTTTTGTTATGTACTCATTGTTGAGAGCCCTTAGGGCATGTTGTGTATTTTCTCTTTCTCTTTTTCCCCTTGGCATAAAAAGCGAAAGGGAAAAAGGCAAAAGAGACGTGCAGCACATGGATTTCTCGAGAAGTCTCTTACTTTTGCTAAAGAACGGTTAACTTTGGAGTTCTCTCATCCTAGTACTACTTTGCCGAGTATCCTTCACTTAAGAGTTCTAATGGGATCCGGTGTGTAACTCATGCTATAACATTTCTTTATCCATCTTAACCAAATTCTTGTCAACACTTTAATATATTTCACTATCAAATTCCCGGCAACACTTCATACAGTATGGAAAAATGGGAATTGAGTTCTTACATCTTCATATCTATAATCCGGTTCGGTTCATTCAATAACTACAAGGGTGAGCCCAATCCGGAACATGATCTATATAAGAAAATGTTCATTGAACCAATCACAGGAATACAAGTACCTATCAGCTATCTGCAGCTCAATTTTTAGCTTCTCATCTTTAACATTTGGGAATGTAGGAAGCATATGTAAAAACTTAGAGTGAGAGAGAGAATTGAAATTAATTTGAGGTGTATTTTCAATTTTGAATGATTTATGTAAAAATTTTAACTGGGGTAATCCTTCTTAAAGCCTTGGGAACATGCGACAGGACTCTACCTGTATTTATTGATCAGAAGAGTTTATATATGCAACTAACAATTTGCAACAAGCAATTTTATATATTAATACTATATGCCCTTATGTCACTCAGATAGAAAACAACCATAAGGAATCTTTGTCACACGCACAAGCTCATAATTATTGCCCAAGTGGCAACAGGACCCTCTCTAATGGTAGCAAATATGCTTCCACACTTTTATTGCTTCTAACCAACCCTAAACCCTTAATCTCACTCTAAACCTAAGGTTACCAACCCATAATCAACCTCAAGGAAATATGAAATCACTTGGACTGAGATTCACAGCAACTTCTACTCTTCTGCCTTCTCAACTGGGGCTTCTTCTGGTTTCTCTTCCTTGGATTCAGTTTCTTCGGTTTTCTCAATTGAAGCTGGTTCTTGGGCCTCCTCAACAGTTGCAGTTTTTTCAACAGTTTCTTCAGTTGTTTGTGTTACTACTGTCTCCTCTTCCTCTTTCTTCTCTGTTACTGGTTCTTCTGCGGCTGGAGCCTCTGCGACCGCATCCTTGCTCTCGACTTGTGGAGCAGCCTCAGATTCCGGACTCGGTTCTACTTCGGGAGCAGCCTCAGATTCCGGACTTGGTTCTACTTCGGGAGCAGCCTCAGTTTCTGGACTTGGTTCTACTTCGGGAGCGGCTGATTCCTCTGGAGGAGATTCAATTTTTGGGTCGGCGTCCGGGACAGGGGTCTCGGAGACTGGCACAACCTTCTCCTCAACTACAGCCACTGCTTCTAGCTTCTCGCTCACCTCTGGCACCACTGTAGCCTGTGCAACCTAAGGAATCCAGATCAAGTATCCAAAATCATAAAATCAAGATCAACAAGATTAAATTAAACCACTGTGAACATATTTAGAACCAAAAGTCCAGTAGGAAAATACTAAGCGTGTTATTTGATGTCTAGCAAGGATCAGGTGTTGATTCACAACAATCAGGTCAAAGGCCCCAGCAAGAAACAATTAAATCAAGTTAATAGTTCAAATTGCAATTCAAAATCCTCTAGAGATGTCATTGAATCTTAAATCAATATAGTTGAAGCAAAAATCAAATTCAGTTTACTATGATTTCCAATCCAGAAGATCATAAAAGAGAAAATCAATGATTTGCATAATACATCAATATATACTTCACAAATTCAATGGATCCTAAAATTGAAGTAGTTAAGAGGAAATCCATTCAACTCTGATTTTCTATTGAAAAGAAGGAGATTTGGAGAATGAGAAAGCCTTGGATTTAGAAAAGGGGTATACCTCAGCACTTGCCATGGGAAACTGGTGTTTGAGATGATAAGAAAACTATGAAAATAGATGGTGAATAAGAGGAGGTAAGCAAAATGGAGTGCAATGCCTGTATGTGGTGTGATGATTCTAATGTTTGGGGGTGTTTATATAGGCCAATAGAGGCCTTGGAGTGAGGGAAAAGGCTGGTTAAGAGTGGGAGTAATCAGGAATCTCCACAAGTGACACCTCATATCACTGACATCAATACAAATAAGCTTCTGCTACAAATGGTTTGTTTTTTCCCTTCTTTTTGAAAGGTGAAAGTCTATTCCATGTTAATTTCATTATTGTAATCATTTTTGCCAAAATATTAATTGCTTTGCATTACTAGAAATTGGTATTTTAGTTGTGTTAAAGTTTAGATGAAGAGATGTTATTAATCTATTTTTATTTATTATTATTAACATATTTTTTAAATGGCTACTATTTTCACCAACGTCCCTCTCATTTTGTAATTACCCTTCCGCCCTTACCCCTTCTCTCTCATTTATATTCGTTAAAAGGTCAGAATTATTCCTGCTTATTAAATGCCAAATAAGATGGTTTGGGCTGTGTGGCTAAGTTTCGAGAAATTTTATTGTGAAGTTTGAGTCTAATCAGTGAGATACTCTTGCCATCACTTGATTTGAAATCCAAACAAGAGCATTTGTGACCTCTTTGTACGAAAAACAAAATAATCTCTTTATAGATTTTTTTTCAATAAAAAAAAAAAAAAATAGCAAAAGGAAAAGGCACACACGTATAAACACGAAATACAACACATACGTTTGGAATTAACAAAAAGGGAAAGAAGCTTTAGTTTTACCTTAAACTTTTACTGGAATAAAGGAATTATTTAACAATTGGTTACATAGGGATTGAGGAAGCATGTGGGGGTGAAGCGGCCAATATTCTCATTAGTCATCATCCAATCAAGCACTGTGCTTTGTGTTGCAGGCTTAATGGGCAACCCATGTTTAGGCATCCAAAACACGTACTCTTTACCCCATAAGAAATCATCCCCTGTTTGGAGGTTAGTTTCCCATTCCACCAAGCCCCCTCATCTATCAAATTAACAATTACATCCTCGACTTTGATGATGCTTTCTCTTTTACATAGCCAAAATGGCCCCTCAATGAGTCAATATTCTTATTATGAGATTTGATGGGAATTAAGATCTCATGGAACTAAGATCTGATAGAACTAGACTAATATGACCAGTTTGCGAATTTTTTTTTTTTTTTTTTTTTGGAGGGGGAAGGGAGTAATGTCCATGAATACAACTATTTTAGCCTGGACTGTTGCATTTTAATTTTTTTTAATTTTTTTTTTGTAGTTTCTTCTTGCGATCAAATTCAACCAAAAGTAAGATATTTCACTAGTTTTTTGCATCACTTTTGATTTGCCTTCTTTATAACAAAAAAACATTTGAGGGAGCTTGAGCACCTTATGTTCAAAATTTAAGGGATTATAAACTACAAACCTATGTACTATTATTACAAGGAGGTTACAACCATTTCTAGTCATTAGATCTCAAATTGGATGGCTAAGGGTGTGTCATAAAATTTGAGAAATTTTTTTTTTAACCTTGTTTCTAATCAATGATACACTTAACACCATCCGATTTAAAATCCGACATGCCTGTGACCTCCTTGGGTAAAAGAAAAAAGTAAATGATTTTTTTGTGTACTTTTCCCAAAATTAATTTTTGTTGTTTGAACTTAAACTAGAATTAGGCAAAACAAAACTTAGACACTGGTCCCATACTTTCATAACATCAAAAAGAAAATAACCCTAAATATTTAAAAAAAAAAAAGAAAAAAAGAAAGAGGGTTCATATACATTAGACAACAAAAAAAAAGATAGAAAATTTAAACTTGGCACGTCAGAAAAGGATGCTAACATGGGAAGGCGGTGGTCGAGTGGGACCTACAAATGGGTCCCATCTCACCGACCGCTATGATTCAATTGTAGAGGGAGGGGGGGATGGACAACGAAAAATTAAGGTGCTGACGTGGAGATCTATTTCCGACCTGTCCATATAAAGCTGGTTGGATATGCTCGACAGCTCGGACGCACGTTTCATGGGACCAATCCAGCCGTCCAATCCACTCAATCGATGGTCATTCTTTATTTCAACCCCATGCCTAATTAACAAACCCTAGATGACACGTCAGCGTCATTCCATAGTCGAGGCCATGATGGACAACTACCCTTGGCTTTTCAAGGTTTGGATGGCGTTTCTATAAGTCGGCCCACTCATATGTACATATGAGGCCCCACAAAAATTATTTTAGTTATTTTTTTTTTTCTAATTTGTTTTTTGTGTTCATCATCTAAGTCAAGATGATTATAAATATGAAAAGAAAAACAAATTTTCAAAATTAAAAATATTTTTTTTAGTATTTTTTTACACATTTTTTTTTTCTGATTTATGGACAATACACTTTTAAACAACGTCCATCTTTAGGATGGATGTTTGTAAGTTGGCGGGCTCTTGCGCCCGCTGACTCATGAAACAATTTTCCTCAAGGTTTTCCCTTTGTGGAGAAGTATATAATGTTGTTGCGTGACAATCCACTTTCTCACAGTAGGAATGGATGGTGGATAATAGTGCTATTTAACATAAATAATTCACCCATAGTCTATGACCTTTGTGACAATTATTATCGATAATTGATTTTCTCGTTAGAGAATAAGGGCCAATAATATCTCTGCTATTATCACAATAAAATGAATTTACCATGATAATATGCGTCATCCCAATATCAATGCAATAATAACATTAGATGACAATAACATACAGTATTTTGAAAACTAAATTTTGTGGAAAAAATACAAACAAAAGATCCCTTTCTAATAAGTAAGTAACATTGTTACCTGAAAATTCTTAGGGATTGCATACTATGAGACTGTTTATTTTTGGTACAAAAAAGTCACGATTACTTTTTAGCCATTGGTTGTGAAATGCAATGAATTATAGTGTATCACAACATTCGATAAATTTAATTGTAGATTTGTACCATCAAATGTCAAATATAATGGTGTCTGATGATTGTGACCTCCTTGTATAAAAAATAGATGGTCTTATTGTATACATTTCCAACTTAAGATATCATTCTTTAAAAACCTTAACTACGGCTTAGAATTAAAAATTTTAATCGCTTAATCATTGTTACGTTAAATACTACCCTTAAAATCAGTCTTCTAAACTTTTACTTTTGAAAGAGGCTTAAAATTTACTCAATTTTTCACTTAAATATCTAAATAGGTTCATATTTTGAAGAATTGACTTAAAAAAGGCATTTATATGGAATTTATATTAAGAAAAAGTATACAAAGAGATTATTTACTTTTCATACAAGGAGATCTCAATTACTCTTGTCTATCAAATTTTAAATCGGATAGTTGTAAGAGTGTTATAGACCAAACTGAAAGTTCAAAAAAAAAATTTCGAACTTCATGGATCATTTCAAGCCATCCAATTTAACATTTAATGACTAGGAGTAATTGTGACCTCCTTGTAACAAAAATAAATGATCTCATAACAAATAATCCCTTATATTTATCCACGATAAAGAATATAATATGGCTTTCATACTTTACCTTTTCAATAAAAATTCCAATCAATACCCAACAAAAAAAGACCCAACCGTAAATATTGACGATAACAATAATTGTCACTAACTCTATGACTAAGCTTTAACTATGAGCATTTAATTTCCATACCAAAAGCCCATGGCAAAAGTTAGACGAAATTTTCTATTTCTATTGACGGTAATAAAATTCCCATGGCTTGGAATCTCCAGGTACAGTTTGCTTTTTGTTAACTAACATTTCAAGTACTTCTCAAAATTGATGTACACTTTGTTTGTATCATTAATATAAAAAGAATGAGCCTGTTTACAGTACACCCTACCAGATAAGAATCAAGTCATATATAGAGAACAAAAGAACATGAGCACGGTCTCTCCATTTTGTGTGCAATTTGTCTATTTCATCATTGTTGTTTGGGAAGGAGGGTTGGAAATTTGCTTAAGGATCATATAATAATTTGATTTGAAAATAGTAAAGAATAATAGTAGGGGTGAAAAGGAAGCAATACCAATTCAAAGATATTTTACTATTTTATTTAGAATATCAAGTATGGACGAGAATATAGAAAAATAGTGTGGTCTTAAGGGCCACACTTCTTATTGGAGGTAACCTCTTTTTACACCACTCACTCTCCTCTTATTATAATACTTTTTTACTTATGCATACCATGCCTATTTATAGGTAATTGAACCGTCATGTTTAGTCGGTTAAAGCATTCCTTAATATTTTCCCCGTTACAATTAGATGGTTCTATATAACTTTGATTTTGACCTTCTTTATTTCGTCATTATCAAGAAACGCCAGGTTGCACCGTCTTTCTATCGCCTCAACCGAAGGTTCTACAATGGAGAGTTGAAGTTGGATGATGACAAATTAACATTTTAAGATCTCATTTTAATTTGTCACTCTCATAATATCTCTAAATTGGATAAATTTGTCTATTGAAATTGTCTATGTAAAGATGTCTATGAGATGGTCATTTGTATTGATGAATTTTGGTTCTATTTCTCGTTTTTTTGTTAGCTCCCAAATGAAATGATGTCGTGTTTCAATATGTTTTGATCGACTTTGAAATACTGGATTTTTGGCCATTGCAATGGCTGATATGTTGTCACAAAAATTGTTGTGGGGGTATTATGCTTTTGCTATAAGTCTAATAAAATTCTTATGAGCCAAACAACTTCACATGCTGCACTTATTGTTGAGATGTATTCAGCTTCTGCAAATGATAGAGCTACAGTATTTTGTTTCTTTGATGACCACGATATCACTTTTGTACCTATGCATAATATATTGCTGAAAGTGTTTTTTTTTATCATCAATAGAACCTGTCCACTCACTATCAGAAAATCCAATAAGATTAGTATTATTTTCATAAATATATTTGATACTGTGTTTCTTTGTTCCCTGAATGTATCTCGAAGTCCTCTATGCTATACAAAATACAGTTTACTAACTTGGAATAAATACTGACTGCATGCACAATATCTGGCCTTGTGTTAGTTGGATACAGTGGTTTAAAAAACGGATT